AGTTACCGAAATAGCAATTAATATTAGTTCTTTTACCTGTTACAACTTCGATATCCAAATAAATCAGCTTATAATCATCACCGGCACCTCTAGGTGTGGTATACGTCTACGGCTGCATGTATCGCGTGAGCGGTTAAGACTCCATTCTCTCTTTTTCTCTCTCTTTTTCGTGCAGTAATTAACCGGTGCGGCAAGTAGAATGAATTTTGGTGGTAGTGATTTTATGTTATGATTTTTGTGGCAGCTTACTCTTTGCCTATAGCTGTACTGACGAAGATTTTGAACCTAAATGTTAGCATCTGTTATGTCTGTTACATTGGCGAATTCGAAATTTTTCTGACAACGGTGATGGAATGGGCATACAGGCTTTTTCACTTACAAGTGGGTTCAATCCTGCATTTTTAATTTTGAAAGTGCACATCATGGACTTGCATTTTATTCAGAACTCACCTGAAGATAACACTACTTTTCCTGATTCTATCGCTTTCTACGCAACGTATTGAAAAGCAGACAGAGCCAGCACAATCACAGATGCAATAAACTTGGGATTCTACGGCCATCACCAAATTTACAACACAAAGACTATGATTATCGTCAACATCCGTGCTTCCGGGCACTGGTTTGCTAACCCAATGTGGGTTAGAGACTTTGCAATTTCAAGAATTGTCTACAGTATTCGACATGCAGAATTTTCTTTCACCGTTGGGAGAGATACCATAACTGAACATTCACAGTATACGCCGTCACAGGAATTTGAACCGCTTCTCAATTGAGAAACAAGCGCTAGTGGAAGAGCTACCACCGCTCTTTATAGCGACATTAATTATTGTAAATGTCTGTAGACGACGATTACCATTTTTTTTAGTGACATCAAAACATATTGGACCTATAACCTCTCCTTGTGAAACACCCTTCACAAAATACACAATTCTCCTTTATTTAAAACGTAGTTAAGCATTTAGGTGTTGCTTATCATGTTTCTGGATAAAAGTTATCGCCACGACTCCTGGGATTCAGGGTTCAATTCCTGAGTCAAACAAATTCGTATAATAGTATAATTTTCATTCAATTTGTGGTTTATTTTGTTATTTATGTTGCAACTGGTTTACGTAATAATATACGATCACCTACAAATCAAGCGAGACAAACTAGCAATTTCCTAAATTGCAAAATTAAATGTTATGCAAATTACGTAAGACACAATTGAGAACAACGAATTTTGACAGTTTGAATGGCCTTCTCAATCATTATCTTCTCATGAGTGGATGTACTTGTAATTTACAATGCCCCATTTGATCTTCTTTTCAGTCTTCCTTTGTAGCTATTCGCTTGCTGCTAAGCGAGCTTAAATCCTCCATGTTTAAAAAGCTCTGTTGGTATGATCATGGTCAATTACTGGACTGATATATCAAAATAAATCACCAAAGCCACTATAGAAGCATTCTTTGGAAATTCTAGTACAGTTTACAGTAAAAGTTTCTTCATTGATGATGAAGAACCGAAATCAATAAATGGTTTGAAGTAAATCAGTAGTAAAATTCCAACCATAAAAGCATAATGTTATGTAACAGAGATATGAGCAAATTAGCGAAAATTCTCGCTCTGTGTTAATCCAATGCACTTGCACTTTCTCTCCGAACATTGCGCAAGCGCACCGGTCAGCAGATTATGCGTTTATGCAGTAGTATACCATTGTAATTGTTGTGGCGTGTATAGGAAGTTTTACTTATACATTTTAATAACTATTGTAACTATTGATAGCTTTGTCTAAATATTTACTTTGATGGTATATAAATATAGCTACATAAGTAGCTATAGAGTAAATAACGATACGTTATGTAAGGCCACGTTCATTGGGAAGGCTTTATTGATGTTGATAGTATCATAGTAATATGTTGATAGCAGCAGTGGAGCTCCTTGTGCAAGAGTTTGTCCAGGGAAGTCTGCCACCTTACCTATTTCTGCCACCAAGCAATAATGTGAGCATTACTGCGTTTCGGTTTTGATAGGGTGAATTTACAGGCACATAGGGTGACAGGCGCGTAAGATCTTTGCAATTTAAAGTTCTGAGTGGCACTGCAACTGTTATGGACAGGCGAGTCGATTACCACCAGGAACAAGTCATGCTTGTTCTGCCGCATTAGTTGAAAGCATGTGACAATTTTTCAAAAATGGTGTTATGTATACTGGCCGTGATCAGTAAAGAAAGCCAGATCTGTCACATTTATTTTTTCCTAGGTGGATAAGGTACGAAAGCATCGGCTAGTTACCGCAAGGGAAATTTAGATATTTTTCTTTAAACATTATTTTTTCGGTTTCGACTTTTGTCACATGTCTGTCCCGTCACTTTGTGTTGTTAAAAAAAAGTGTTATTTGCCATCATTATTATCGCCATTATACGTCCCATTTTATTTAAGATGAGTCTCTAAGAAAAAGGTAAAGGTTCAGATCCGCCATACTGACGTTATATCAGCGTGACGGACCTAAACCTTAACTTTATTGGCTGGGGATTGGAGACTTGTTTTCCAAGGGTTGTCAACAGTCTTCGACTCGCAGGTTTCTTGACGATATTTTCCTTCGCGTAGCTTAGAAATTAAATTAAGTCATCGACTTATACACATTTAATTAAAAAAAAAAATCCGCTATTTCCGCTGTCTGGTGTTGCCCCTCCGGACGTCCGCAGAGACGTGGCTAGCTCCCTAGAGCGCTTAAAAAAAGAGACTGACCAGCGGTACCCCTTACTCTATCACGTACCGATAATCCAGAGACTAAAGAGTCGGCACGGCTTCATTAAAGAAGTATTCTCTCTGGACGGGGAAACTAATCAAGTCCGTATCTAGTAAGAAAGTAACAAAGATACCCCACGGCATCACTCATTCCGCTGTCGAAGCACCTCCATCCTTGGCATAATCTACCTTGGCACACTAGGAAGTCTTTAAATAGACTGCGGACCCAAGTCGGCCAAAGCAAGGAGAGCATGCACAGGTGGGGTTATAGCTCTGAGAGCGCATGTATTTGTGGTGTCTCTCCCCAGACTATGGCATATCTTTTGTCTTGCCTGCGTGCCCCTACACCTGCATAGGCGAAGACCTGTACAACACCACTGATAAAGCTGTGTCAGTTGCTAAGTACAACAACAACAAATATAAACGTCATAGTCGACACGACAAGAAGAAGAATAAAAAAAATGTGAACCTCGATAACATTTCATATTATCTATTTATATATATCGATTCGTATGATCTCTTTTAAACCGGTAATTTAAGTGTTAAGTAAAACCAACTACTCTTGACCCACTCCATCAATGTAACCTCTTATTTCAACTATCATTTCTGACACATTCACTATTTATGACACATTACATAACGTGCAAGTATTTTAAGTAGCTAATTTACATTTAATATTAAATAAATGAAAATTTACTAATCAAAAACAGCTGGGCACAGAGAATGACAAATGAGAACGTACTAACGAAAATGAAGGGACTGCAAAAGTATTTTGAAAATATTTGAAACCAAGCCGGGAGTGAGCGAGTAAGTTAATAAGTGACGACCAAGGCTAATTTACCATGATCAAATTGAGGACATCCTAAAGAAAGACTATATATTCATGTATGAACGCACTGATGCTTGTTGATGAGACGTAAGATTCGTGTCAGGATTGTAGCAAGTAAAAGACTGTTGTCTCTGCCTACCCAATGCGCGTGACTTCACGGGTATACATAATATATACTTATATGCTTATATGTTATGTATAAAAACAAAGAGGAATACGATGAGCCATTTTGTAGGGCATGACGACTTCATTATATACCTGATCGAAGGAAAAGTGGAAAGTGAGTGTAATAATAATAATAATAAAGCACACTCTCAACATAGCCCCGCACTAGGGAAACCCTGTGTCGCGGGTGCCATGGACACACACATAGACAACCACAAATTACACCCAAACTCACGAGAGAAATAAATGTAGGCCATACAAATGTTTCTCCCGGCCCCGGAATCGAACCTGAGACCTCTGCGTGGCAGCCCGGCATGGTAACCGTTCGGCCACGGAGGCAGTTAGTGTGGACAAAGATGCCCGAGAATAAAGTTACTTTGATCTAAGATTGTATAAGATAGTTAATGAAAAAGCTTTACTGCGTGCAGAACGACTTTTAAATCTAGCGCAGATAGAATAATTGTAAAACAAACTTGTGCTTTTGAATATCAAAAACTAGTTACCTGTGTATGCAGACATAACACGTACTAATTAAATCCGTAAGAAAGCTTTCTGACGCTCTTTAGAGACGTTAAAGTGACTGTGACAACATGTGAAAGGTGCAGGAAAAAACAGATGTCGTTGACAAACGATACTACACGCATAGAATTCACGTGAATTATTAATAAAAAAAACAATTTACAAGAGCACTTTTTCCATTTATAATCATATTTGTAAGTAAAGAAACAATTCTGCTCGAGTCAACTAAAAACCCTTTACTGCATGAGTAAGTAAATTACTCTCGAAATCCTAAAGTTTTTAACTCAATTCCACTGTTCGTTAGGAAGGTAATTTTCCTGACACAGTTTACCTGTCCCGATATGTCGTTCAAATATCCATCGTGTGGCCTAGGAGTTGAGTGCAAAATACAGCTTCACTCGTTTATACATGAAAAGTAAAAGTAGTATTGCAGGTATTAGACGAAAATACAAAATAATTATCAGAGTTCGGTGAACGCATCTTGGAATTGCGTCACACACATTCACTCATTGACATCATCGCAGAACGCGATCGGCACTTTCGACTCTCAGTCGTTCAATGCAATATATAACATAACACACGCTAGTTTTCAAACCAGTATTAATTTTTCGAGTTCCGAGAGTCCTACTTATTTCGGTTGCGTTATTAAAAACAACTTTTTGACCATTGCGTAAGTTTCAAACTTGGATAAAAAACAACGATTCATTAAAAAAAGTTTTTTTATTTACAGAAACTTACATTATCAACAATATAATACATATTACATCTAAGATGCGATCACATGAGTTTCGTAACTAAATGAGATGAGATGACTATGACTTTGTTCTCATTTAGTGGTGAGGGGTGCCGTATGAAGATGAGAGGGATGGGACGCCGTACGATCCCGAGGGGCTTCCAATGGTGGCGTAAGAGCCACCATGTCCACCACTGGAGAAACCACTGGAATAACCACCACCATGACCACCGCTGGAATAACCACCATGACCACCACTGGAGTGACCACCATGACCACCACTGGAGTAACCACCATGATCACCACTGGAGTAACCACCAGCGTATCCACCAGCATATCCACCACCGGAGTAACCTTCCTCCTCTTGGAGGTATTGGGCGACCTGGAGACCCTGTTGAATGTGGCCAAGCTCAATGCCAACGATCCTTTCCTGATAATGTGGGACACCGTAGACTGGTGCAGGAGGGCCGTAGTGGGAAGAGACACCATGACCATGACCATGACCGTGACCGGAAGAAGAGTAAGCTTGGTTCTGGATTTCGTCCTTCAAAATAATATGCTTGATTTTCTCGAGTAGATGGTGGTCAACATGGTATCCTTCTGAGCTTTGGTGTCCAACAGGGATGGGAATGTAGTGACCACCGCTGCTGTGGCCGCCGGCGTACCCTCCGGAATATCCTGAGGAGTAGCCGGAGGAGTGTCCTCCCGAAGAGTAGCCACCACCGGAGCTGTGGCCGACAAGGAGGGATGACGGAGCAGAGTAGCTGTAGCCTGATGGAGGCTCAGCAAAGGCGCAGCCGATCAGGGCGAAGGCAACCTGCGTACAAAAGATGAAACTGCGTGAACAAGATAATGGAAAGTAATAATAAAAACAGTGAATGACAATGTCATGACAAACCAGTTCGAAACTTGGAAAGTCTCTAAATAATGAGTTGATTTAATAAAATTTACCGAGAACACCACTTAAATGATCGAAGTATATGAAAACTTGAAAGTGTGCGATCCAATTCGGAGACAATAGACTCTTAATACGATGTAGAATAAAATATCATAAAACAAAAGACGACACCTAAGAAAAAATTAATTATAAAAAAATAAATGAAGATGATGGTTATAGTAATCATAAAGAGGGCTTGAGGATTTGCAAAAGATTCCATGCGTGAAGTTATCTGGAGCAAGTGTCGAAGTTTTTAATCAGAGCATAATAGAAGATTCCGTAATCTGAATATGAAATTAGCATTATTAAGTCATCTTAGTAATTCACGGTCTTGTACCATTGAATTTAGATGACATTTCTGAATGCTTAATTGTTGTAATGGTGGTTTTAAAAAGCACTAAATATCCCGGCAACATAATAAATTGTACAAAAATTTCATTTTGTGACCCGTTGTTAGCAGTGTAACGTGTAATAGGCAGGAGGATAACAATGTTCAATTTTTAACTAATTTGATAACAAAAACTACTTTTTATTATCAAATTTGCTAAAAAAACTTCCAAAACACATCCAACATCTTTCGCACTTCCAACAGTTCAAATTTTTAAATTTCGAACGCCCAATTTCACACACTGGGAATCACATCACTGCACTCCTTTTTTGAAAACTTCGAGTTCTACTTTTAAAATATTTTTGCGGCTTCGAAAATGGTTTTGAGACTTACAATCCACTTAGCCATGTTAGTTGTGTGGTCGTCGACGTAGTGTGATGGTTGCAGGCGTGACCAGAGGCTTATATATCGGTGATTCTGCCGTCTACTTTTACTTCGGACCATCCGAGGTATGGCGAGGACGAATTTCGGACTAAGAATGTACTATTTTTTTGACTAAGTTTTTTTTTTAATTTCTTTATCATGTGTTTCGGTTTTTACGAAAAAATTGCTTTGTTACGAAACTTTGGATTACAAAAGCTCGCTGCCTTTCAAAAATATAGCCCATATCTGTCTTTAAAACAAGTGACAACATGTATGATTCGCCTTTGCACCTTAGAACGATGAATTAATTAACGTTGAGTTAAGTTACTATTTTAGAAAGCCGTAGAAATGTTTTTAAACAGTTTTAAATGCGTTGATAATTTTGTTTATTTCGCAAAAAATTCAATTATATTTTTTATTGTCTCACGTAGATTTCATACCTTTGGTGTAATAAGGTCACATTTGCAAAATAACTACTTTTGAGAAGAGAGATTGAAAGATTCTACGAATTAAATTGGTTTTTTATGCTAAATACGAGAGTTATGAAATTTTAGGCGTGTAGGCGACAAAAAACAAATTTTGCATGCGAGGTTTTTTTTTAATGTTTCTACATATGAATGATACTAAATTGAATTTTATTATACAATAATGAAATTAATTCGGTATTAGATAGCAGCTAAAAATTCTTTAAAAAATGAATGAATGTCAAGCCTTTTTTGCCGCTTGCAATATTTTTAATATCTCCATCTAAAGATTTTTTCAGGTTTTCAGGCAGGTAAGGTAACACTTGCGATTAAAAATATGCAACAAGATGCAACACGTTTTTTCCACTTTGTTTATAACGACAAAATTATGATGTACTATGTCAGTTGTAATAACAAGCGCGGTCGCTTACGTCATGTTTTTTTTAATATGGATTCTGTCGGTTAAACTAAAATACAAAAAACAGTTAAGCTAACGATAACTTAGCTTTTGCTATAATTTCTATTTCATGTGATTTTGGCGGGAAATATCGACGCGTCCTTGTCCGTTATAATTTAAAATTTGTAGATAAAAATGTCGCATATCATAAGTCGGCGGTTATGCCTCGATATATATGGTTTATTTCACGTAATTCGTATTATTTTTAGAAACGGTCATGTGGTGTAGTACATTGTTGCAGAAACCGGGTAGTAAGGGATTGCTGCACGAGTATAAGTTACAAGGACGAGCGCCAGCGAGGCTTTTTATTAATACGAGGCAAGCAATCCTCGTTCCCGTCCAGGCCTGTATAGAATTTTTCTCAAACAATGTCGGGAAATAATAAAAGTCTAAAGTTCGCGACCAAAATCCAAAAAAAGATGAAAAAACAAAAGAATACCAAAACATTTTAATTTAAATGTTACCGCCAATTTCTTTTTGTAAGTAAGCGGTACAGGTAGGTGTTTTTAATTCTCGCAGTCATGAACACTGGGCAGTTGGCTGTATGAGTTTTTCTTTTGCTTGTTTACTTAGTTCATTATTGGATTTTCATACTTATTTTGCAGAACTTGGCCGGGAAGAAGTCGCATGGTCCATAAATGATCCTTCCCGTGTTCGGTTTTTGAAAGTAATGCATACATTTCCGAGCATGTTTGAGAAAAAGCCATTTTTGGCATACAAAATGTCACTGGAGATAAAAACTACAGTTAATGGTCTCTTAATTACTACTTAAATACGTTTATTTTTCTTAAGTTACCGTAAATGAACCACCAATTCATTAACGAATAAGATTAACAAATAGACAAAAAGCAATTTGGAACTTACTTGGCCGTAACCTTGACACTTTTTTAAAGTAAAATTAAGATTTTTTTCTGTAAGTACCTACTTAATTTTTAAGCAATAACTTTAAAAATGACAGTCTGCTTAGTTATTTTATTTACCTTTAAAAGCTTTACAAGGATTTATTATTATTTGTTAAGAAAAAAGCCTTGCAGCTTCCGATTTCAAGTGACCTGGCACAAGGTTTATTGTAACGAAATGTAATGATTACTTTTGCTAAACGAGATCTTCAAGTTCAGTTGGATTATTAAACTTGATTGCTTTAAGAAGAAATTGGTTAAAATTACACATTTTATAATCTATTTTCATATTTGATATATTTGACAAACAATCACCACGTGTAGATAGCATGTCTGACAAAGCATTTGCCTTGTTTCCCTATTCGACAAATACAGCAAACACCAAACATGCGTTACGGCGCTCTGGTCGGTTTCTCGACGCATATCAAAGGAGCCAAAAAAGCAAATAAGCTAGAAAACCGTCTATGGTACTACTATGGTCATATTCATTATGTTAACTCCTTATTTGGTTCTATATGTAGACGGTCATATTTGTCAGTATCTGTACGTTTCTATGTGCATCAAATATTTGTCCAAGTCTTGGATAAATATTTGATGCACCTATCTATACCCCGTCCCATACAATAGCGGCAGAGCACGTCGTGTTGGGAGTAGACAAGATTTTTTTCTTGTCCGGCGCCGAGGCAGTGTACACAGTTCGTGTTTAGAAACGACACGAATTCTTGCATATAGCCGGTGACTTTTCTTAGCGTGGACACGCGCCCTTAGAGTGCCTCTTTAATTCTGAACGTTGCTCGTCAGCCACCTGTATCTGTCTCTATCAGCAGCCAACCGGAACAGCAGTTCGACGGAGGCAATGCGGATCCACTCCCGGATGGTCCACAGCCACGATTTCTTTCTTCACCCAGCGCTTCTCTTTCCCTGCACTTTGCCCATCATTATCAATGCCACGATTGCATTGATTATTTGAAATAATTCTTTCAAATATTAATAAAGCCATAATCAAGTTTACGGTCAAGAGAGGAATTTCAGAGAGTTCACAAATTTCTTTAAAATTAAAATTTATTCAAATACTCCGATAAATCCACGAACAGTAGCTTCACAGAGAGGTTAATAGAAGCCTCATATTACATCATCGGTATCTAGCCATTGCACGTACTACTACTGGGCACGGCTCGTTTTTAAAGAGAGTGTTTAGGTCATACTCCGCCACCATGACCCAACACGAGTTGGGGACTATAAACGTATTCGTTTAAAAATATGTAAGAAGTTGAGACCTGTTCTAGTGCCGTTTGTAGGCGGGGTTTAATGTTCTTTTACATGTAATATATATACTCGTGTGCTCATTGAAATTTGTCAGCAGCGGATGTCCATATATGAAGGCGGAACCTCAAAAGCAGCATGTAGTGCTGAGGTTCCATCATTGTCAATATAGACTCTAGTACATTCCCGAAATTGTTAACTGTTAATCTTTTTATTGTAAATGTGCTTATGAATAAATATTTTATAATTATTATTATTATTTCAAGAAGTATGAACCTTCGACTTGTCGGTTTCATCACAACGTTTTTCTTCATAGTTAACGAGAGGTATTGCTGTTAAACATTTACAAATAAAGATAGCTTAGAAATTAAATTAGGCCATTCTAGACCAACGTACAAAACAGGTACGCATGGTTCTTATTTTAAATCATCTTCATCGTCGATAATAAACCCCACTAGTGGCCACGGGTCTCCTGCATGAAACGGATTCAGGCCCATAGTTTGCCACTCTGAATACATAAATAATAAATTTAATAATACATTTTTATTTGCCGTAATAAGAATACAACATATATAATGTACAGTAAGCATCATAGAATCAGTAAAAATGACCGCTGGTGCTGAAAAAAGGAACACCTGTGCGTTATGTACACAACCTTCCAATGGCATAGTAAAATAAACCATTGTCGTTTATATATTTATACATTATGCACAAACGATATACACCAAAACAATAGTTTAATAAAATAATCTCAGTACAAAGAACTAGAAGAATCGACCTCAAACGTTTGTGTCATTACATATATCCAAGTTTTATTGAAATCGGTTACCGGAAAGTGCGAGAAAACGGATTCGTCCCCTAGTTTGCCACTCTTAGGGTCGTATTCTAGAACTCTACTCAATGCTCAAGTCAGGATTTGAGTATGGTTTAAAGCACTCGAAATCATACTCAAGTCCCTGCCATTAGGGTCGTATTTCCAGTGCTTATGTTTCCAGTGCAATCCTGACTTGAGCATTGAGTAGAGTTCTAGAATACGAGCCTCAGAGGTGGAATGTTTTCTTCACATTTAAATGGGACCACTACTGAGGTAGCCTCTTTCTAACAAAAAAAGAATCATTCTCTAACGCCGCGTTATCGCGTAACATACATACAAAAAAACATGCAGATGAATTGAGAACCTCCTCCTTGTTTGAAGTCAGATTGAATGAACGAACCAACGTTTTTAATTTTTTAAAGCCCCAAAAAAAATTACACCCAAACTCACGTGAGGCCATACAAATATTTCTCCCGGCCGGAGAATCGAACTCACAACCTAAGCATGGCAGCCCAGTATAGTAACCGTTCGGCCACAAAGGCAGTCGAAGTGGGTTGTGAACTTCATACGTTTTCCTGCACCGTTAGCAAGAGATGTTCCCTATTAATATTCACAAACGTACATAACGTCATATAGTTCCGTGCCACCACAGGGATTCTACACGTTGACCTCTCAATTAACTGACACATTAATTATACTCCATAAATATCGGTAATAATGATAGCCGGTAGCGAATTGTTTGATCGTTGTTGGCCATGATTTAGAACCATCTGGAATTTTACCAGTATCATTAGTGGTTGAGTCTATGATTCCTGCTTCACGATCACCTATTTCATTAAAACCATCTGTCTACAAAATGAATGAAATGACTTAGGTCAAAGTCAAAGTAAAACAATCTTTATTTCATAGGTAAGCAAATTACACTTGAAATGGTCATACTCATTAAACTCTACAGCTCATTCGTAAGGCCCCTGAGAAGAATAAGCAAGAAACTCTAGGGATTGTTCTTAGTAAATATACATTTGAATACATTTATCATTACAATATTTTATTTAAACTTAGATCGAGACTACCTGCTAGATCTAAACGGGTCATTACCACGAGTTTTTGTCATCCAAGTACGCTGAAGCTGTATAATAATCTTCAGTATAAAATTTTTGTTTCACTACAGTTTTAAAGCTCGTAAATGGCAAATTTTGAATATCAATCGGAATCTTGTTATAGAAGCCTATACATTCCCCTTAAATGAATTTGAGACTTTGTGAAGACGACTGTTCAAAACAGAAACAGCTATCTTATTTCATTCCTCGTATTAATGTTGTGTATCATTATTTGTCATAAAAAAATTCTTGTCATTTCCGTCAATATCTCCTTATCACCTCCATCATTGGAACGTGATCTCTCACTCTAAGGTTGACCTCTTGTCTTAACCATTACCTAAACTTTACAAGAAATACGTAATCGTTTACAATGTTTTGCCATGATTAGTGATTCCATGCTATAATTCTACTGTCGATTATTCATTTATGCGTGTCTTTCTTATTAAATATGTAAATCTTTTGAAATTTCATTTCTTTGTGCAATTTTCCTGATTCTTAATCTTGTCGACGTATCTTACGTATTTCAACAAACAATAATAAACAAATTAATTATTATCAACCTAAATAATTGCTAGAATCGAGTTTTTTTTTAATGCAAAACAGACACATGACCAATCATAATCTCAAAGCATAATCTCATCTAATGTTAAGCAACGATATGAATGACGATAAAAAAATTCTGTCCACTATAGCCTTGAATAGTCCCAAATTTTGGCTTTCGGTAAACAAGAATGGACCTTATTTACATATGTTATATATATTTTTTTAGAGCTCCTTGTGAAAGAGTTCTTCCAGGGAAGTACTGCCACCTTACCTATTTCTGCCGCCAACTAGTAATGTCAGCATTACTGTGTTCCAGTTTTGAAAAGTAAGGGTGCTGGTGAAATTACAGGCACATGGGAA